GCGCCGTTGCCGGGGATCGAACCCGGGTCACCCGCGTGACAGGCGGGAATACTTACCACTATACTACAACGACCTTGTTGATATTATTTCATATTAATGAACATATATATAATTATGCAAACATAAAACTACGCCAAAGTCCAAAGTGACGCAAGTCATCCCTGTGACTCTCTGTCAGGTGGAACACAATTACAGAGCGGCAGATCACCGAGTGAAGTCATCGTAGCTCGTCACCATAACCAACCACCCTTTGCTACCTCCTAGCTGCCTCTAGCTGCTATTCTCCTACTCATATTATTTGGTTACAGAGAGAGAGAAGCGAACTCACAAATCAAATCGAAATGCTCCGCGATGGAGAAGAAACCCCCTCCAGGTACGCGCGTCTTTGATTTTTTGCTGTTTTCTGTCTGCTTCTCGGGAATTTTAGATTTCATAAGCTCCCTCTTTGTTTCGTAGATTCGAATTGTTGAGCATGGTGAAGAAGCATTCGAGCTTGTTAGGGAAAACCGTAGTTGACGCGGACGATGTTTCCGATGTCGAAATGGACCACAAATTTTGGCATGATGTATTGGATTTGTATTTCATTTGTGGCAAGGACTCCAGGGGACGCCAGGACGATGATCTCGTGTTCTTTGTCAGAAAATTGGTACCACTTTAATTTTTTCAATTTTTGCTTAATTACATTGCCAATTATGCCCCTTTCTTAGTTTTAGCTTCATTGATTGAATTGTTGCATTGTGGGCAGAGCTCTTATGGGCCTGGTTCCAGTGACGAAAGTGTTTCTCCTTACTTTGTACGCAGGTGGGCACCTAAGGTAAAACCCAGTTTCAGAACCGCTTTGAATTTTGTTAAAAGTCATGAGCTTGTTAATGGGAGATAACTGGTACTTACTTTTATCAAACAGTTGGATAATTTGATCGGTGAAAATAATGTGGAGGTGGATTGGAGGCGTTCATATTACTTGAACTTGATTGCTCACACTGCATTTACTGTCACAGTGGCTATTTGCAGGTAGATTCTCCTTTTCATTTGTGTCCAGTTTGTTTTGTTCTTGTAAATTCCACGCCCAAGACACAACATTCTCTTATTGAGTATATATCAACGTACTCTTATCTTGTCTAGCGGTAATCTGCATGTGTGAAATGTGTTTGTTCATTAAAATGACGATCAACTGCACTTTTGGAAACACAACCCTGACTGAGAAATTTGAGTATGTTGCTCATAGAGTTTTCTTGTTGCTTTCAGTCACTGATTGTGGTCTCTCTGGACTAAAACTTTTCTTTGCTCCAGTTTATTTATCCCAAAATCTTAGAAAAAGTAACCAATGGCTTTAGTTAGATGTATTTCGTAGAACTTCTAGTGGAATATTCTTATGTGCTTTTCTTTTTTACCAGAGCTTTGCAATGGTAGAAGTTAAAATAAGTGTTGATTTTCAGTCATCAGGACCTTCGGAATCATCAAGCTGAGCAGGGTACACCATTATCTCCAATATATAAGGTATGCACTGCCTAAGATTGCTGTATCTAAGTATGTCTTAGTA